ACATCAACTAATTAATATGCTAGTACCAATAAATATAGCATTACTCTATCAAATAATCTGAATTTTTAAATGATTTTTTTATTTTATTTTGAATTTAAATATTTATGTTCATTGAACTGTTTAAAATAAACTCGTGCTTTTCACAATTCTTTTTGATTGCATGGCTTCTTCTTTTTTAAATTTTTTACACATTTAAAAACAGTAAAATATTACTAGTTGTTTGTTTCTGTAAAAAGTCTTTTTATAGACAAGAAAACAATTTTAAAAGTTAATAAACTCCATAATACCACACTTTGAAATAAAAGCCACATCACTAATCCTACACTAATATAAAATTTGATGCAGACTTATGCTTTTTTACAGATAACTAATAAGACTTAGATAACTATTAAGACTTAATTTAAACCCTCATACTCCTTGTGCAGAAATATGAAAGTTGATAATTTGCTGGTCTAATAAAATTATAAAAGTAGAAAATTGAAATTCATTAAACCAATAAAATCATATCTTTCATTTTCATGTATTAAAGGACTAAATGATACAAAAAATCAATGATAAAATAATGACTATTTCAAGTATTAAAATCAACAATGCTGGATTCTGTATTCATATCAGAAATAATAAAGAGTTTACAATTTTTATTTTGTTATAATAATTATACATATTAATTGCATCTATGTTAATACTATTTTCAATCTTTTCGACAAGAAAATCTACAAGATGTAATCTTTTTGTTTAAAGATATAATTTCGAAAGCTTTATTTTTCTTTTACCCTATTTTTCTGGTTTGCCATCGAATCTTTAGTTAATACTACTATATTTTTAGATAGACTAGCTTAAACGTAGCAAGAATCTGATAAGAAAAAATCCTAATAACATTATTTTATCGCGCTTTTATACACATTTTCTTTAGAATTATTATTAAGTTTCTTTACATTTTGTTTTGTTTGTCCTCATTTCGATCCCAGAAACCTTTGCCAAAAGGTTATCAAATCTATTTTTAAAAACACAACGGTACCCTATTGAAAAAACACACACTATTGAACTATAAGATATGCAAAGTGCTTAAAACTATTGTTTTTATAAATAGTACCTATCACATCCCTATTAAAACTCATTTAATGTTCTTCAAAATTAATTTTCTTCAAAAGAGTTTTATAATTACTTAGCTAAATACTTATACATTTTTTTAAATTTAAATAAGCTTTTGCTGCTTTATTTTAGAACTGAATTTAAAAAAGATTTTTTTTTTATCAAGGATAACTCAAGTTTTTTTGACTTTATTAAATGGAAACTTTTTTTAATAACACAATTCGGTTCTTATTTGTTCTTGATTATGTAGATAATTAATTATACCTTAAGAACAAAAAATTATATAAGTCTGAAATGAAAAACTTATCTACAAAACAACATAAATTGTGAAGCATACTCAAAAGCCGCTACTAGTGGCTTATGGTCAAAATTTCAAAAAAGTCAAAGCGGCTGTCAGCGGCTTACGCTAGTAAAAGAGTTAATGAGTTTCGAAAAATCTTTAGCAAGTTTTTTACTTGTTAAATCAAATTTATCAATTTTATTACTTGTTAAATTGATTAAAAAAATTTCAAATTTAACTTAAAAAATTATCTTTAAATGGGACAAGAAAACTAGAAATTTATTAAAAATTTTTCTTATTAAATAGATTAAAAAAGTTGCAAATTTGATAAATTTTTTATTTGTTAAATATGTTAAGAAAAAAGCACGTTTAATAAACTTTTTTACTCGTTAAATGGGTCATGAAAATTGCAAAAAAATTAACAAGTATTTGTCATTTAAGCAAAAGTCATTTAACAAGTAACTGTTATTAGCAAAAGCCATTTAACAAGTAACTGTTATTAGCAAAAGCCATTTAACAAGTAACTGTTATTAGCAAAAGCCATTTAACAAGTAACTGTTATTAGCAAAAGCCATTTAACAAATAACTGTTATTAGCAAAATCCATTTAACAAGTAACTGTTATTAGCAAAAGCCATTTAACAAGTAACTGTTATTAGCAAAAGCCATTTAACAAGTAACTGTTATTAGCAAAAGCCATTTAACAAGTAACTGTTATTAGCAAAAGCCAATTTTATAGTTTTTTATTTCTCATTAAAAGGGTAATGAAAACAAAAAAAAATTATTTTACTAGTAAAGAAAAAAGCAAATTTAATAAAAATTTTCGATTGAGTCAATCAAAAATGTAAATTTGTTAAGTATTTTTACTTGTTAAATGGATCAAGAAAACAGCAAATTTAATTTTTTTTTTCTTCATGTTAAATGGGTCATTTTTTTTTTTACTAGATGGTTCAAAAAAATAGACAAATTAATAAATTATTTCACTTGTTAAATGGGTACAGAAAATAGCAAATTCTATAATTTTTTCACTTGTTTATTAGGCAAAAATATAAATAAATGATAAACAATGGATGAATGGAATCAATCTCTCTAAAATTTAAATTAGTCTGTTGACAGTTAGTTGAAGAGAAATTAATGGGTTGTTGATTCACTAAAAAAAAAAGTTTGACATAGACCATAAAAAGAAAGCAACTGTCATCTGCTAGAAAAGAACTATCGATGAATGGAGTTGAGTAAATATAACTAAGTATGAACCGGAATTCCTGCAGGAATTTATGAGTTTTAGCTTATTCCGGTCATGGCTGGAATTACAATATTTCACGCTGGATTTTTAAAGACATGTGACTGTGTAAATTAAATTAAAAAATCATTGTTCTACAGGACAATGAGAAGCTATCGGTAAACCTAGACAAAAAAATAGAAAGTTTTTAACAAACATAATGTAATTTTATTTACAGTAATCAAATATGTAAGGATTTTTAGAAGTTTAGAAAATATTTTGGTGCAAAAAGAGCTGCAAAAAATACAGTTTTGGGCATCTACCTATTTTTTCATCAAAAATGTTACCTGCCTCTGAGAATAGTCTCATTTTAAATGTTACTTAAATATTAAATAATTAAAAAGTATAGGATGCCTATTACTGTATATATGTCATCTTTAACCTAAATGGAAAAACAAGAAACAAAGAAACAATTTTAAATATAAATATTATGTAAAAATCTTTTGTCTTCCTGCTGATAAATGTGCTTCTTACATAACTTCTTGAACTCATGCTGGAATGGAATCTTTTATTCTTTCTCAAAATCTAGCCTCAATCTTTTCCATAGTTTTCCTCTCATTGTGCTGCTGCAATTTCCAAAAATACCCATTACTTTGATATCCATCAGCAAAACAATTCTTCAAAAAACAGACGTGTTTACTATTGCTAGAAACAATTGTTAGAATGTTTTGTCTAACGCCAAAGCCCGCTGTTCTCAGGTTGTGAAATCATGTACTTTTTTCCAAAAATTAGGCTATTGTGACTTCTGGAGAATCTTTAACAGTATCAATAATATGGGCAAACCTATTATTCCACTTCTCTTGTACGGTTTAGATTTTGGAACCTCACCTAATGACAAAACTGAATTGTTTGCTAAAATCTTTTTATCAATGTCACTCTTGATTCCACTAGTAGCGTTCTCGTTTATATAGCCGACAAACAGGTTGATCCATTGCTTGACATTTGTATCATTCAAATGTATGTGTCTGAAGTGATTTCCTGCTTTGACTCCTCTAAATTTTGTAGTCCAAACAACATACCTGTTGTAGTCTTGTGGTCTAGACAACATACCTGTTGTAAGTGTTATCCGGACCTGTTATCTATGCTTTTAAAACTATTAAACAAGTGCTTTTTGGAGTCTTGTTTTTCTTTCTGCTGGAAAACGCAATTCAGTTAAATCTCATCCATTTTCTGTGACTAAAAAAAAACAACTAAAATATGGAAATATCCTTCCAGCATTACATATATTGTTTTATATTATATTTTTATATTGATATTACGCTGTTAAATATTTGATACACGATTAAATGACTAAAAGTTATTTATATCTTAAAAATTATACTACCCAGTCGGCACGGGACAAAAAAAATATGTATTTTAAACATCTTTAAAACATTTTGAATGTCTTATGAATGTTCAAAGACGTCTTTTATAGGTCCTGTGCCCACTAGGTACAAGGCAAGCACAGGACATTAAAAAGACGTCTTTTAAACATTTTTGAACGCTTTTTAGCGTTTAAAAGACCTTGTTTTTAGTTCCCCTGCTTTAAGTTGTAGTATTGGGTAAATAACGAAATTATTTAATAATAAAATTTGAAAAAATTAAAAAAGTGTATATTTACTTAAAATATTTTACTTTTCAAATGTAATATGCGTTAGTAGAACAATTATTAGCAGAGTACATAAACCTTGTAATCATTAAAGTTAATTAAAATTTATTTTTGTAACTGGTTTGGACTTTGGTTAGCAAATGTGATCCAAAAAAAATTTCGAAATCAGCAGTTTTTGATCACAAAGTTTGGGAGCCGGAAACGAGCCGGAAAAATAGCTTTCTGCTCCACAAGCCTCTGGATGGATAATCAAGTTGAACAAGATACTAACAAGGATGCAGTGGGGTATTGTTCTGAATTTACAGTTTTAAACAAAATTCAAACAACTTCGAACTTTTTTTTTATATAACGCTTATAAAAAAATCAATATGAACCATTGATAAATATTTAAAAGAGAAATTAAAATAAGTTATCACTTGATAAATGAATATTACAAATTTGTGTTATTAACAGTAATATATTAAGTGAAGATTTATTAAGAATGTTGACAGCAAATAATGATTTAACTATTGGTAACCGATGATCGCTTCCATAAGCAAATAAAAAAATAAACAAAAGAAATGATTGTAACAATATTAAAAAAGCAACCAAACAAAACTTATATTATGCTAAACTTGATGAATAGTATTCTTCCACAATGTAATAAAAGTCATACCAATAATAAACACTGAAATAAATCTGCCACCATTTTTACTGTACTTTTTAAGAAAACAAAGCACACCTTTTTCTGATTGTTAATGTTAAATAGGACATTATAATTACCTTTCTTATCAGAATAATTTTTAGAACTTTCTGATGAGTTTGAAGTTTCTAAATGATAAATTAAAATATATCTAAATGACATTTAAAATAAATACTAACAAAAAAAACTTTTACAATAAATATCATGATAAAACTTTTACAATAAATATCGCTAATCATTCCCAGTGGATCCATTCGGAACTCCGTCTCGACGGATTTTTCTCGGTTTTTCGGAGTTTCGGAGTTCGAGACAAATCGAGAAACTTCGACGAAACTTCGACGAAGTTTTTAGAAAATACCAATTTTTTATTTGTAAAATAATTGAATTCTTATTTTATTTCTACGTGGTTTTTACAATTGTAAATTGTAATTTTAAAAATTGTTTCAAATGTAAGTGTTCTCTTCGTTTAATAACAACACTAATATACATCGCAAAGCAATTGGTAATGCACAGTGGGCCAGGTGATGATGGTGAAAAAAACCTCAAAAAAAGTTTATTCTATTCAAAACCATATATTAAAACATGCTCATACTTGTCCATTGTACTATTTCAAAAACTCTTTTGTGTATATTAGTATCTTTTTAGTACTAGTATTTTTTTAAATCCACAAAAATCAATTGCGGTATAATAAAATGTAATGCATAATAAAAAGCAAAAAATTTTTAATTTTTAAGCAAAGATATAATAAACAGTAACTTTTAAAATATAATGCGAATGTGATATTAGTTTACATATTTTAACTACTCAATAGTTCACCTTTACAAAAAAAAAGTTTAGTCAAGATCATTATTTATAATATAAACAAAGACTGGTCGTAAAATAACGAGGTAAGTTTTTAACATATAAAACATATAAAACTTTCATTTTATACAAGTAGTGTCGTATTTTGTATGATCAAAATAATTTTGTCCACCATAAGTCTAAAATCCGGCCCACTGAGCATTGTGGCAAAATTGTGCAATAAAATGTTATCAGTGAAAATAAATAATAATAATAATTAATGTTTAATTATACTTACCTATCAGAGTAAATAACTTAATAACTTAAAATGCGATAACTTTTCACAATTAAAATAAAATTAAAAACAAATATGGGAGGTCATTATCAAATTGATAATTTTTCTTTTATAGAAAAAAATGGTTTCGGAAGCGTGGAAGTACTTTAATAAAGTTGTGGTAAATGATAAGAAGTATGGAGATTGCAAAAAATGTCATAAAAGAATCGCTTGTCCAGGAAGCAGCACAAACGGCCTTATTGGACACGTCAAAAGTTGCGAGAAAATAGATTTGAAACCATTCAGTTCCAGACCAGTTTTGACTAAAATGTCATTAAACGATCTTCTTGCCAAGTTGACAGCTCTTGATGGGTATTCGATTAGGTCCATAACTCAATCTGAAACACTAAGAATGCTTTTTGAAAATTACGGGCATAGTTTGCCTAAGTCAGCGTCCGCAATTTCAGAAAAAATTAAGATGTTTCATGCTGAAGCCAAATACTTAACGATCGCTGAATTGGCTGCATTGAAAGCAAAAGGAGAAAAATTTGGACTAACAGGTGACGAATGGTATAGCAATAGAGGTAGAAGATACTACAATTTAAATGTTCATCACGACAGAACGTATTGTTTAGGAATGATGAGATTGCCATCTCCTAGTTCTGCTGAAACATTAAACATTTTGATAATGGAAAAATTAAAAGAATTTGGTTTAGATAGTGAAGATATTGCAGGCAAAACTACGGATGGCTGTAGTTGGATGGTGAAATTGGGTACCATGTTTAAGTTTCCACATCAGATCTGCCAGAATCATTCAATTCATTTGAGTGTTTGTGATTTGATATACGCTAAAAAAGATTGTCGCAAAATTGTGAACAAAGAAACTGAATCGATTATTGAAACAGAAACAGAAACTGATGGAGAGTCTGAAGGAGAGTTTCTTATTGAATATTCGGAGAATGAGATTGAGTATGAAGAAAATATCGAAAAAAATCTACAGAAACTTCGAATACTAATTAAGTTTTTGAAATATTCATCGTTTCGATATGAAGTTCTTAAAAGAAAAATACACGAAATATACGGATCTTCGCATGACAAAGGACTGTTGTTCGACAACCGAACAAGATGGAACAGTGTTTTTAAGACGATTAAAAGATTTCTGGATTGCTTAGATGCTGTAAAAAAAACACTCGAAGAGCTAAACTGCTTAAACATGTTAGCTGAAATTGACTTGGATTTCTTAAAATCGCTGTCTGACTTATTAAAAGTCGTTGCTGACGCTGCAGTTCGCTTGGAAAAACCAAGTACAACAATTTTGGAGTGTGACATTATTATGGAAACGTTAGTAAGGAAATTGAAGGTTGCAGAAACTGACATCAGTTCTAATTTTGCAGAGACCTTAATCTCCAGATATGAAGATCGTAAAAACGTTATGTTGGTATCATTGAGTCGTTATTTGCACAATCCCGATTTTTTTTAAAATAAAAACCACACATTTTTTTACGCTTCCAAAAAAGATATTCAAATTTATGCTTCAAAATTATTTGATCAACTATTTGCAACAAAAGAAAATAGTCTCCAATCAAAATCAGATGATCACGCTAAAAACAAACAAGAAGAACCATCACAATCGACATCTTTTTTCTCCGAAATTCAAGAAGTTCTTATTCAAAATCAATCAGCAGCTAAAAAACCAAAAAAAGTCAAGACCTTCACCGATCAGTTGAAAGAATATGAAGTAACTGGTGTGAAATCAGAAACAGTTTTAAAATTTGAACTAGCCATCCACAGAATTCAAGCAACTTCCTCGGAAGCAGAAAGAGCTCCTCGTCTTCCAGATTTGTCACAAAGTTTCGTAGTTCGCTTTCTGATGAAATGATAGATGTTTTGATCTTTTTAAAATATTATTTAAAAAGATCATCAGTATAAATACTTTTTTTTTCACATTTTTTTTTTAATTTTTACTATAGGTGCCCCAACAAGTCTTTATTGCATAGCAACGCAGAAGGGCATTTAACTGAAAGTTCACGCCTTCTTCCTAACCGATGCCGGTTAGAAAGCCAATTATTAGGTATAACTTGTTCGTTAAAAAATTGTGATAAAAAAAATATTTATGTACTAAGAAATATAAAAATATAAATTTTTCAAAATTTTATTATGAATTATAAATCGAAATATTTAAAATTAAAAAATAAAAATACAAGAACAATGTTTAATTATCAAATAGAGAGTTTAATTTTTTTTTATCACATAGATAGTTTAATTTTTATAACAAAATATTATCGAAACTCCGATTTTTTCTCGACTCCGACGGAGCTTTTTCTCGATTTCTCTCGACTCCGTTTTTTCTCGATTTTGGATCCTTTGATCATTCCCTGCATTCGTGCATGCGTTTAGAAATCAATTCTGATTTTTTGTTTAATAAACATTCTTGGTTTGCATGTGTAATTATTTCAAATTATTCTCTGTTTAATTTTAATATATTTTAATATACATAGCATGCATTTTTAAGAAATACTGTTGTTTACAGGCGCTGTTTTGAGGATGGACCAACTCAAAATTTTTCCTTCATGCAACAATATTTCAAAAGTAAAAAATCATCAATATTTTTATCTTTTAGTTCCCTTATATATTTTGACAGCATGGTGTCTCTTGAATACTTTATTATTTGTAAAAGATTGCTTATGATTGGCAAAACGTTTTTTCCATTCACCCTCTGTAATGCCAATATATTATTTATGGGATACATTCTAAAGGGAAACAACACATTTATATACCACATTTTTTGATAAATAACTTCCACTCATTGGACAATTGCTTTTTTGTTTACAATCACAATTTTTTGTCATTTTTTCATTACAGATTTTTTTTTTGTTGAACAAAGTATTATTGTGACCTTTTATAATTCTTTCCATATTTTTTGTGCAACTGTTGCTAAACTTTAATTGTATTTTGATTAAAAATTTTACGTAATTTTTTATAGAGATGGAAATACTTATTGACCAATTTTAAAAACAATTTTCCTATGTTAGTAGAAACATTTTTGCTATATAGGCGGTTGAATCAATTACATTTATAGTTCTATTCCACTTTTTTGGATTCTTATATATATATATATATATATATATATATATATATATATATATATATATATATATATATATATATATATATATATATATATATATATATATATATATATATATATATATATATATATATATATATATATATATATATATATATATATATATATATATATATATATATATATATACATATATATATAAGCCTGGGTCTACTCAAAGTCGACAGCGATTATTTTTTACACCATAAGTCGACGTAAAAAATTTTCTTTTTTAATTCATTTTTCCCTTACAGATGTTGCGTAGATTAAGTATTTGTATCGTAAAAAAATTTATGTGATCAATTAAGCGCTTTTTCAAAAAGAAATAGAAAATTTGTCGACTTAGCGATTTTAACGCATGCACATATATTTCAACTTGACGTCGTAGAACTAGTGTAAAATAAATTTTATACGCATATTTTAAAGTTATTTGTCATTTTTACATACATTTATACTAAAAAAATTTATAAAAACATAGAAATAATAAAATACAAGTTTATATATTTATTATTGTTGACTTGACGCAAGATTTACGAGTAGAATAAGTCTTCTTATAGTTGAAAAAAAACATATTATATAATGTCTAAATGTTAATTTTTTTTTTGAACTGGTCGTATATTATTTTAACTAAATAGTTTATCTATATTTTAAACCAAAAATTATAATAAATATATCTTTATATTTCAAACAAAATATGCAATCTCTTAACTATCGACCTATAGGCAGTATATGTAACACGAGTAATTATACGCGCTTTTAAAAAAAGTTATTGGTTATGAAAAGGCCACTTTAAGTCGATCTAACAATATATATATATATATATATATATATATATATATATATATATATATATATATATATATATATATATATATATATATATATATATATATATATATATATATATATATATATATATATATATATATATATATATATATATATATATTTATATTTATTCATGTTTTTATATATTTATATGTATTCTGTTTTTGATTGTCGTTGAAATGTCAAAGCATATATATATATATATATATATATATATATATATATATATATATATATATATATATATATATATATATATATATATATATATATATAATTACAAAAGTTGTGACCTTTAAATAACAACAAAAAGTTTTTTAATTTTGACGTCACCTTTATAATGGCTTCTTTTACCTAAGTTTGAAAAAAATGTAGTCCAAAAATTTGTTTTTAAATATTATCCATTGTCCATATTCATCCATCCGTACGTTGGAGTACATTGATGTTTTGTATCTCCAATGCCTTTAGGACTTTTCTTTTAAATTTTTTATCCTCAACTTTAAGTGTTATTACTTTATTCCATTCAATGTCCTCATTACAATTTACTTTATGCAAAGCTAATGCCGACTGGTTTAACTTGCCTTCAGTCAA